GCGACCGCGCTGCCTTCCTCGGACCCTCACCCCCGGCCTACAAACAGCTGGAAAGCCAGCGCCGGGCTGCCGCTTGCTGAGGGGGAGAGGCTTCCCCTCATCTCAACCTATCGCAGGCCTCGCTTCCGGTGACGTCACGTCTCCTAGCAACTGCGGGAGGGGGCGGGGCCGGAAGTAGGGACGCCGGGCGCCCCAGAGCTGGGCCTCGGGAACTGCGTTTTAGTAGCTAGCGGCAGGAGCAGCTGTAGTGTCTTTACCCAGGTTGGGATGTGGACACCGACATTACGAATCTGTAGGGAGCATCGCACATTATAGGTCTCCCTCGAAATAGCTACCGCCTTTTCTTCTCCTGGATATTGAGCCCTGAAAGGATGCTTGAAGCCTCATTTATTACGGCTTCTCTCGCATGCATTTCATTTATTCCATCAGCAAAGATAGGAGGAATTGAGCCAGGTCCTGAAAGGAACAAATCTAATGAGTAGTCTAGGGTGTCTTTTTGAAGTAGAGGGGACAGAAAAAGAATTTGACCTAAGACAAAAAACATGGTAAGTTTGAATTACGATGTAGGGCAATAATGCCATAAAATAGGCAGCTTGTAGAATTCATAATGGCAGCTCAATGATAGTTTTAAGATAAAAGTAGTTTATCCATCTTAGCCCAATCGCAGTTGAGTTCCAGTTTTAAAGACATGGATTAAAAATCTCTCCCTAACAAAAGCTCACCTCCTAGAGTTGCAGTTTTAGTAAAACTCAGTCCACTTGAGTTTTTTTTTTTTTTCCAAAAAGTGCTGTTTTTATTTATACATAATCCTAACCACTTGGGTGGCAGCAGTGGGAGAGGTTCTTCTATCAATCCAAGGGCCTGTGTAATGTTGGTCTGTTGTTATCATACACACAGGCAAGTGGCTTCATGGCTCAGAATGATGCCGAAGGCTGAGGGACTGGGCCTAATAGGTAGGGTCAAATCACCCTGCACTGTACCAGTGCATATAAAAGGAGGAGCCTGCCTCAGATATACAGGCACTTATTTCCACTCAAGACATTTGCAGTTGTTTCTAAAGCTGTGTGCACAGGAGAGTAAAGATATAAGTTTAAAACCTCTTAAGACAGAACCGAATCTTCAAGGCAGAAATCTTCCTGACTTTCAATCAAAAGCGCGGAGAATGACACGTGAAGAACAGAAAAACCAGATGTGGACTGAGTTTTACGAAAACTGCCACTTAATCCCAGCTCAGATTGGCCTGAGGTAATCAAACTATCACCCTATTTTCATTTCTAGAAGAAAATACCAGTCTATATTGCATATAGGTTTTTATATTTTAAATTTGTATATGATAAAGGAAGAAAAATTTGACCAATAATGAAGATAAAGGTAATAGTAGACTCACAGGTATGCCAGATGTTGGGGTCCAGCTAAGAACTTTAAAATAGAGGAAAAAAAAAGAAAGAAAGAAAAAAAAGGACTAAAAGCTGCTGAATTTTAATAGAAAAGAAATCCATAAAAAAGAATAAAAGGAAAAATCTTGAAAAATATAATGTCTAAAATAAAGAATTTTTTAGTATATGTGCTGCTGAAGTGAGCACAAAAAATAAAGAATTTAATGGATGAGTTTAACAATAAACCAGACATAGCAGAACAAAAGATTAAGAATTTGGGGATAGGTCAAGGAAAAAAATACCCAAACTGAAACACAAAGAGGAAAAACAACTGGAAGAAGAGACCAGAGCTTAAAAGGTATACACAATAAAAAAATCAGGCATAGGTATAATTTAGCTCACTGGTTCCACTGTCTGTCTTGCAAGCACAAGGACCTGAGTTTGATCCCCAATACCAGGAAAAAAAAAAAAAAGAATATAAGGTAGAAGCAATATTTGATGAGATAGTATGCAAGGATTTTATTGAAGTAATTAATGGAAAACATAAAACCACAGATGAAAAATATCAACTCAAAATGGATCACGGATCTACCTGTAAAAGATTAAACTATAAAACTCATATAAGAAAAAAAAGTCAGAAGTAAATCTAAGGGACCTTGAGTTAACCAGTGATTCCTTAGATGACACCAAATGCATAAATACTAGAAAAACAGAATGATAACTGGGGCTACATATACATTTCAAACTTCTGTGTTACAAAGAGAAGCATCCAAAAAATTGAAATGATAGCCAAGAGAATGGAAGAAAATATTTGTACATCACATACCTGATCAAGGACTTAGATCCAACTAGTATAAAGAATTCTTACAACTCAACAATGACAAAATAACTCCATTTTTCAAAATGGGGGATTTGAATAGGCATTTGCCCAACTGAGATATACAAATGGACAACAGTCCCATAAACAGATGCTTAAGCTCTTTATCCATTAAGGCAATGCAAGTTAAAACTACAATGAGATACCACTTCACACTCCTTTAGATGGCTCTAGTGAAAAAGACAATCAAGAGTGTTGGTGAACGTGTGAAAATTGGAACCTTCATCATTGTTTATGGGAGTGCAAAATGATGCAGCCTCTTTGGAAAATAGTTTGGCAGCTGCTCAAAAGACTGAAGAGTTACTATATAATTCAACAACTCCACACCAGAGAAATGAAAACATATGGTCCTATAAAAACTGTACACAAATATTCATAGCAGCATTATTCACCACAATTTAAGAAGTTGGAAGCAACCCACATGGCCGTCAACTAGTAAGTGGATAAACGAAATGTGGTTTATCTGTATAAAGGGATTAGTATTCCCAGTGGATTCTTTATTATTCACCAATAAAAAGAAATGAAGTATGGATACATGCTATAAAACGGATGAACCTTGAAAACATTATACCAAATGAAAAAGGGAAGTATCATATATGGTTTGATACCATTTATATGAAAATTCCAGAATGGGAAAATTTAGAAAGCAAGTTAGAGCTTGTGGTAGAGAAGGTTAGAGGCTGATTATAAATGGGTATAGAATTTCTTATGAAAAACTGAGATTGTGGTAGTGGTTGCATAACTTTGTGAATATACTAAAAACCATTAGTTTTCACACTATTCATAGGTGAATTGTGTGGTATGTCAATTATATCTCACTAAAGCTGTTTTTTTAAAAAAGATAAAATTATTAAAAAAACAAAACAAAAAGTAACCATACAGAGTAATTCCCATAAGCCCCAAGTAGGATAAATACTACAAAAGTGCAGAGAAATTTGTGGGTCTAGGAAGACAATATCTTAACTGAGCATTTGTAGCCTTAAATGTATTAAAGAAGGAAAGCAGAAAGTTAATGAGCCAAGTTAATTTAAGGAGTACATAAGTTCAATATTAGAGTTACATAACCATAGGATGAACCCAAGTGAAGGCTTCGGTGAGAATAGCTGTTTTCAACACAGTAGTTTTGTGAGTGAGCTGGGAGCATATTTAGCTAAACAGTTTTTGTGTGTGAATTTCCTATTTTGCAGGTTCTGGCACTGAGAGGGTTCAAGGTGTGACTATGACAGTGGGCCGCTGAGACGGCAGTGAGGAGATGAGGGAGAATTGGGGGAGATGGGTGGGTCACCCGCAAGAGCTTGACTAGAGGAGTTGTCTTCTCGTTAGGGAAGAACCTGAATATTATAATGAGCACAACTTTCTGAGGGAGAAATGCGAAAGAGCACTGGTGACTTAATAGAGACGTAGGACTCAGAAGCTTAAATAAACCATTCTAACCTTCACTTTTGGGTAAGACCAAATTAAACTATGTCAAATAAAATGGAATATTATACCCATTATAGCTAAAATCCAAAGCTCTTTTAAAATAACCATTAGTGGCATATTCATCCTGTGATTTAGAAATATCTGGCTCTCATTAAATCTTAAAAGGTTCTCATTAGTCTCTATGGCTGTTTCTCAAATATATTAATGTGTAGTTCTAAGATATCATTGTTCTTTAATTGAACATTATCTTCACTCAGTAATTTATTTATCCAAACACCATTCACAAACTTACACTGAGTTGACAAAGGTTAGAAAAACATTGTTTTGGAGAAGTGCCTCCTTGGAAATAATCCCTTTCGCAGTGCAGTATTGAATTTTAATTGTTTTGAAGGACCTCATAAATAAATACAGATGTTCTTTATGTTATAAATAATATATTTCTAACATGTTGACACTATGGTTTTTACTTCTCTGAATAATGTACTACTTACTCAAATAATCTCACAGTGAATAAGAACATAGGTTCTGAAGCCAGATAGATTAAATTTTATTTCTGGCTCTATTACTTACCAGCTGGGTGATCTGTATGTTTCAGTTTCCACATCTTTAAAATTAGGGTAATACTACTAGATTACCCAAATTATAAGGTTGGTTTGGGAATTGAAATAATTATTGCCTGATGTACAGTGATTGCCATGTAAGTGTTATGATTATTTATCTACACTGCATTGTTTTCCTTAAAGAAATCTTATCAATTTATTTTATAAAGACTATCTTTTAAAATAATAACTGGTTTTCTTTTTGTTCCATCTCTACAAAACATAATATACCTGATTTTTCCTACTCAATTCAGCTTAAAGTTAAACAGTAAATACTAAATTAAAGGGATATACCTAAGGGCTAGGGCT